TACATATATATATATCACCTTATTATCATGGAGTTAACATCCAGGGTTGTTGTGCACAGTCCCACTGAGTTCTTGATGATGGTCCTTAGTGTCCTGTTGATTTTGTATAATGCCATGCATTCCCAGATCCATTTGTGCGGCATTGAGTCTTAGACTTTCCTGTAGTTGATTCAGGCTGTACTCACATTGGTCTGTCTGGATCTTGAGTGGTTGGTGACTGCTTTATCTATCAGCTGCTTATGTTTTTTAAGCCTCTGGTGTTGTTCCCCATGCCCTTCTGAGCTATGCTTATGTATTGGTTCAGGTGGACCTGTAGCTTGCCAGCTATGGTGCCTGATAGGACCTTCTATGTTGTGGACAGGCAGATTATTGGCCGGTAGTTGGATGGTGCTGTTCCCTTGTGGGGCTCTTTCATCATCAGCACTGTCCTTCCTTGTGTTAGCCAGTCTGGGTGGAAGCCTGCTGCTAGCTGGTTCCTGTTCTAGGAGATTCTTGTGGCCTGCTTTCAGGTCCTGCAGCCACTGGCCACTGGTGTTATGTGTCTTCCCTTCCTCTCATATGTTCTTCCAGTACTGTTCAGTTTCTGCTTTTGTAAAACACTAATCAGACTCAAGAATCTATTGTAAATATGGTTTATTAAAGTTTTTTTTGCTGCCACTTGTATATGTAATGTTTTCATATAAAAAAACTGTTGAAAATGAGATGAATTAAAATCTCTGAAATAATGTTTAATAGCAATATCTTATAATTTGGTCAGTATTCACATCTGTTTGTCCATGTGTATTGATTGTATTATTCTTGTATTGAATAAAGGATCAAGTTCAGAATATTTTTCATGCTAAAATTAGGAGGATGTCTGAAGGCAGTTTTATAGGATCTCCTCAAGAAGTTTGTTGTGACACTCTTCTCCCATACACTGAAAAAAGCAAGATAACTTATTGGCATTGTAGTTCCTTGTGCTGCTATGAGCATTGACTAGTACTAATCCAGTAAATACTCTTGTCTACATGGGAGTCAGCTTTGAAGGTTTATGGCAGCAGTCTGCAACCGTTAATTAACATTAGGGTCACTGAAGGATCACAATCAGCTGGGAAGGAGCTGCCCTGGTGATTTATGACTGCCCTGAAATCAGAGAGAGCAGCCATGCATTTCACACACATTCTGGTGTATGATGTACTTAAATACACACCACACGCATACACTCATACAAAGCAGAGACATACATGTTGACAAATGCTTGCATAATACAATGACATTATGGAGGTCACAAGCAGTGATGCAGATATGAAATGAGTCTAAATAGGCGAAACCCATCAGCAGCTAATGAAAGGCTCTTCAGTTCATTTACCTCTCTAAACCAGTCTCAAATGTCTGCTTCATTTATGTTATGTAAACACATTGAAATGGAAACATTCAGGCATTCAACCCATTGATGCCATCTAAATACAGTATATAGGCATTAAATTGATCTCAGTATATTACACAGCACAATTCATTTACAGGAGTGCAAACACCTGCATTAATCACTCCACTTCGCTGTTAATCACTCCGGTCCTTTATTCCAGTGGCCATGGAAAAATGGGATATAAAAGGAATCCATATTTTCCTAAAATTCCTAAAATGTAAATGAGATTTTTTTTCTAGTTTTAAACTTATCGTGGTGTCTTTCAGCCATCAGGAATTAGGGAGGTTTGGATGAATTTTGAATTTATATATACTTTACAACTAAAATATTTACGAAACATCCTGGAAAACATGTTAAAAACAGTAGCTGCAAATTGCAAGTTTAAGTGTCATGTTAAAATCTCTTAGAGACATTTCACATTTAATACCAACAACAGAAAGAAAGGAATGAATCAAAAGACAAATTTGGGTTAATGCAGCAATGTAAGCAGTAAGTAGAATTCATAAAGTAATTAAAAGCATTTAGAGTGAATCGGTAAGGTTTATGTTTATAGATTTTGCTCTGAGTTCACTGCTTTTTAACAGGCTAATATTGCCATGCTAAAGATGTCCACGTGTATATGTTAACATGGTAACACCACTACTCAGCTCAAGACTTAAACGCGGCTGTGAAAAAAGACAACTCAGATAAACTGTGTAAAATGTCCACTTGCATTAAATTGTGGTTATTCTGTGAAGTTACCAAAATGCTGCACTATGCTATAAACAGTACCATTTATTTACTCAGTATTTTGTAATTCTATCACTTCTAACCTTATTTGAATTTAAGACATGATCTGTCTCTCCTTGTTCACAGTATCCCCAAATCAGACAGGACATCCATTCACAAGAACCTGTTCATTGCTCTGATCTGTGCCCAGGTGATTCTACTTTGCAGTGGCTCAGCCATTCACAACAAGGTACAGGCAGAAGCATCTACTGTAATTCCCCAGTACATAAGATTTAATATTGGTATCAAAGGGCAGACTGTGGACAATTGGAAGCTAACATTTGTGCTTGTTAATATGCCATTAAACACATTTAGATTAGTATAAATATTGTTATGGTAGAATTAAATTTTCTGTAATTATTGGGATTTTTACAAAAAAGCTTTTAAAATGGCATTAATTCTAATACTTTCATACCATCTTTTTCAGTATCCATAGGCATGAACAGTACAGGCTTTAGTTAGCTTGATAATGAAATTTGAAAAGACTGTTCACCTGTTGTCTGCTTTTAACTGCTAAGCCGCAACATTATGTTTTAATCGCTACCTTAATGAGTGCTGACATCAGAATTCATACTGTGGTTCCTAGTAAAGCATATGATTTGACATCGAATGTGACATAAGTGACCAATACTATCATATCCATCAGCCTAAACACATGGCTCAGTCTTGCAGTGGTCACTCGGTGGACTGTTGTTGGTTTGACCTTAGGTCCTTTGACAGTAGGTCATGTCAGGGTGGGTTTATCCCTGGGGACAGATGGCTGCTTGTTGGAAATTCATCAGATGGTTTCATATGTTTATATATATATATATATATAGGCACACTGACTGGCAGGAAGGTAATTTTTCAGTTTTTAACAAGGTGTTTGAAAACACGGTTGGAGTCAATCCATGGCTTTGGTGTTTCACTACAGGATGCTTCATTGGTAAAGCATATATTGTTGTTGCTCGACACGTTTGGTAGTTGCAGGATTTGAATTTTTAATTTTATAATTTCTTAACATTAGACCAAATCTTTTTTTTCTATTTAATATGAACATTTATTTTATGCTCCTACCACTGTTAAAGGATTTAATATAGTACTTTTTACTGTAGTGTCTAACAAGTTGTGACAACCATAGAGCTTATTATTACTTTTGGAGCATCTACTGGAATTTCTGGAGGAAAAAAACCTGTAATGAGTACTAATTTTCAAAATATAATTAAATTGTTATTGTAGAAGATGTGCATGTGTAGATCAAAGATTCAAGCTTAACGTCTTAATAGAATATGCATGTGGTCAGCTATATTTCCTTTTATTCCTCACAAACATCATTGTAAGAGTGCAAATTTTCATTGGGTTGAGAATTTACCAAGCCAAACTGACCTTTGCAAATTGTGTAACTGCAGTGCAGTAAACCAATCCTCATGCACATACTGTATGTAACCAAAATGGAGCCAGGTACACTTTTTTGATCATGCTTATGACTGGCTGTTTGGTTTGGTCTGTTTGTAACAAAGGGACTGAAGCTTATTCTATTCTTTGCTTTTACTATTTGAACTCTCACTCAGGAGGCCCTCCTTGAAATAATAAATGTTATCTGTACTCCTGTGTTGGTTTGTTTGTAGGTGGCATGTACACTTGTGGCAGCATTGCTCCATCTCTTCTTCATGGCAGCATTTAGCTGGATGTTGGTGGAGGGTCTGCTGCTTTGGAGCAAGGTGGTTGCAGTCAACTTGAGCGAAGACCGCCACATGAAATATTACTATCTCATCGGCTGGGGTAAAGTGGATTGATAAAAAGCCAAATGATTCTTTTCATAGGTGTGCTGTGAGTGTACAGGATTTTGTTGTAATGAACAAAAATTATGTTTAACACAGGCATGTAAATCCACAAAGGGTTAGATTACTTAAAATAAATATTCTTTTGTGTAAATATTCTTTTTAGAGACTTAATAAATACATCATCAGTTATAAGGGTATTTTGCTTTTTCATTTGCATCACAGTGATCTATTAACGTTGCCCAATTTTTCTCAACTTTTTGCTTTTATCCCCTCTTCTTCCTGTTATGTAGTTCTTGCTGCTGTGCTTCATCTTCTTTATTCTCATCCTCCTCCTATTTTTATTTTTTCCCTGCCTCCCTGCAGGTCTGCCAGTGCTGATAGTGACCATCACGCTGGCTTCGGCCTCAGGCAAATACTCAGCGAATGACTACTGTTGGCTTAGTGTACAGAATGGCGTTATCTGGGGCTTTGCTGGGCCCGTCATCTTCATCATCATGGTCAGAAAATTAAGTTGTAATCCTATTACATAGTCTGCTCAGGCTGTAATCATTGAAGTACAAAATACTAGCCACATTTCTCCCATTGTGTGCTTGTAATTCTGTCCAGTAAAGCTCCACATTAGGTCTGCCTACACAACTAAAGTTACCAGTGAAACTGGAAACTGGATGGCATTTGCCAGTAATATTACATTTGTAAAACGGCTGTTGTTTAGTCTCTGTCTCTGTTCTGTTATTCTTTTTCCTTTCTTCTCTCATAACCCCAATGACAGATATGTCTACCTATATTTTTGTTCCTTTTCCTTTCTTTTTTATCTCTTCCGTTTTTCTACTCTTTTGTCTCTGTGCATCTCTTCTCTGCTTCTCTCTGTGCTACTTTGCTGATGGATCCTCTCCTTTCTGAATCCTTACATTTTTTTCCAGGTGAATATCATGGTTCTGACCAGGGTGTTGGTCATCACCATCTCCACAGCCAAGAGAAGGTCCATCATGTTGACCATGGGCACCAGTCCAGTGGAACAAGCCTATGAGCAAATCAGGTAATAACCACAAGGAGGTGCCATTTGCCCTCTTCTATAAGGTCCTTCACCTGGGCTGCAGGTGACAGAGCAAACGAGCTGTAGTCTCTGGGTGTCAAATATAAAGCAGGTGGAAGATTTTATATTCGAGTTGTAATTTTAAAACTGTGAGTGTCACTTATTAAACAAGATGGATTGCATTAGAGTTGAGTCATGTGATGTGTTGGGCCACTATCGTTTTTTTGTTTACTTTTTACATTATTTACAGTGTATTGCACAGTATTACATCTGATTTTGAATAAACAAAATTTATCAAAACTGTTGATTGAAGGGTCTTGTGCTTATACTGAATTTCTTGGATTGTTTTGTTTGTAGGATTGTTTGATTTGGAATGTATTAATGTTGTCAGTAATGGAAGCAGTTGTATTAGTTGTGGAGTTATTATTATAAGATGTTGCATACATTTTAGGAGGAAATGCTCGTAATGTAGCTTGTAGGCAGAAAACATCAATGTAAAATATTTTTCAGCAGCTGTAGTCTGAAGTTAGTCCTTCCAGAAAAAAACATTTTGATCAAACCCCAGTTCAAATATTGATATTCCAAAATGATCTCTGTCATATACAGTGAAATAAACAAACAAACAAAAAACAAGGCACATGTAATAGTCCACACAATTTGTTGTATCTCTCTGTTGAATGATTGAAAGGTTGTGACAGTCCATCTGAAGTTCAGGCACTTTGCATGCTAAACTAGTAACTGAAATACAATTTAACCAGTTGTCTAAATGACAACCTGTACTTACACGATAGATGTTCCTTAAGATTACTCATGAAAACATTAACTTGAGTAGTTTTAATATGCTGTATTGTGGCTAAACATGCTATATTGTGTACTTTGTGGCTGTATCTTTCATTTTGTTTTTTGGCAATAGTGTTAGCTTATCAGAGTGAAACTCTGTATGTAATCCAATAGATTTCCCCCAGCAGGCATGTATAGCCAATCACTGAAAGTCATGGTAAAGTGTGTATATTTTTTCACTACCTCAGCCCACCGGGGCACACAGTAGGTACTTTATGAAGGCTTTCAAAGCAGGCCTTGAACCATTTGGCACCCCTGGGTGTCAGCCGTTTTGGAAACTCAAACACATTCCTCCGCTGAATAAACTGGTGCTTGCCGCTGTCCATGTCACACTCACATGCACACACATACAGTTGGTGTGGTTTGGTGGTCACCTGAGCGGGAAGCTAATTCCACTCTAAACAGAATTAAGGCAAATTTAACGTGGGAAGTTGTCACCCCATGAGCCTTCCCAGCTGCATAGCGTTGTATATGGAACAACCAGCCTGCCAAAGCCGCTCAGTTTTGTCCAAAAAGAACTGAAAAGTTGAGAAATCTGGAACTGAGCTCAGGATGATCAGGGAGGAAGGAAAATTTTATGTAGGAAATACTTAATGTTATCTGGGGTAGTCTAAGTTCAGCTTAGTCAAATACACACCTTGGCCAATATGCATGTGTATATATTTATATTTTTGTGCTGTTGTTTGTATCTTTGTGTGTGAGCACAGGGCCGCTGTAAAAACAGTGCTGGTGTTGGTCCCCATCCTCGGATTGACGTGGCTGTGTGGCGTCTTGGTGCCTTTCTCCATTGTCTTGGCCTATATCTTCATCCTCCTCAACTCCCTACAGGTACACGATTGTTTTAAAACCTCTACAGAGGCAAAAGCAAGCACATGGCTTATATTAAGGGTACATAATTTTAGCTCATCATATTAAAGACTTTGGTCATACAAGATCTTTACTTGCACAGTAATGCATGATTCAGTGTAAAAAAGCAAGTTAACATGTAGTTGGATCTGTGATCAAAAGTAAATGTACAGTATAAGGGTGGCCCCACTATTTAAAAAAATTAATAAAATTGGAATTTATCTTTATTGTTTTCTTGTAATGCACTATGGAAATGACTGAACTTTTGAAATGCATGAATCCAGACATGCATCACTCACTCAGCTGGAGCACTATTAGTAATAGAAATATAACTGTTGTTTTAGCTTTTAAACCACTTTTTTGTTTGTTTTGCTTTTTTCCTTCAATGAGGAAAAAGAGAGATTTTCTATTACACATTGTAATTTTGCCCTTCTCTGGTGGAGATGTTACACAGCCTGTCAAGGTTTTTATTTGTCAGTGAAAAGGCTGAGACAGAAAAGTGAGGAGGGAGGGGAGCTTCCGTCTGGTTTGTGTTAGTCAGGTCCTTCATTTTAACAAGTAAAGTCAGTCTGTAATGTTTGTTTGCTTATTTCTGCTTTATGTATTCAGAGGTCAGCATTATTGTTGTTTGTGGCTTATGTTGTTGGCTTTAGCTTTTAGCGGTGATATTCTGAGGCTTGTTTTGTCATAACTTTTGACAAAACAATGTTTTTTATAGGCACTAGTTAAAGTATACACTCTAATTTTGACAAATTCTGCAACAAGTAGTTTACTAGTGTGCATCACAGCTTCATTTGAAAACTGTCACAACTGAGAACTATTGGAATAATACCCGTGTACCCCCGTTTCTCACTGCACTGCAGTGATGAGGGAAAAGGGGAGAATGAAAACGTACAAATCTCTGTCTGTGGGAGGCGGCTCCACTTTCCCCAGCTTGTTCAGACCCACTGCTGTGTTTTATAGTCAACTTTTAATCAGCTGTATCTTGAATTGAACTCTATATTTAATGATAAAATCAATAGATGTTTTAGCTGCAGCTTGATCATTAAGCAAGGCCCCTTGGTTGCCATAAATAGTTTGTTTCCCCCTTATAACTTATTACCTTTTTTTCATGTTGACAGTAATTGATACAGATGGTTTTTCCGGGCTCTTATACAGCTCTAGTGCCTTACATTGTTCTGTTTCAAGCGTCTGCCTGCCTATTCATTCAGCTGGAGACATGTCTGTGTGTTTGTCTGCCTAACTCGGTTGCTGTACTACTGCATGTTTTCACCTATCTTTATGGCAGTTAGTTTGAAAGCATGCTGTCCCAGTCTCATTGTCAGATAACAACACAGCCAAATGCATATGATATTAAGATGCAGTTGTATTTGTGGAGACAGTAAAGCTGAATTATTTTTGATATTTGTATAAAAGGTGTTATTATTTTCAAACACAGTGATCCAAACAACTCAGCTGTAATATGCATAGTCATTGACTCTGTTGTCAGCTGTAACAAAAAGGATAAAAAAAATAAGAGATGAAAAAGTGAAGCATAAGTTTGTTTAAGCCCTCTGCATAAACTGATGAATAACAATTCCCCATCATTATGTGATTTACTTTAGTATTTAGAGACGCCTTGTCACAGCTCTATTAAATTTTTTAAAAATCATTTCAGTCACTCCCAGTTCTGCTATATCACATATTGCAAATAAAAATCCAGCACATGTATGATAAAGCGGTTTTCTCCTTATAAAACCTTGTCCTTAAACATCTTATTTTTACCAAGTTAACAGTATAATTTTCCCAAAATACCAGCACTTAGTCTTGTGCTACTTGTGTCAGCCTCTGTCAGTCAGTCAGTTTATCTTTGGTCCAGATGAACTAATCTTGACAACTACAGACAGGATTGGCATGATATTTTGTACAGAAATCCATGGTCTCCATAAGATGAACCCTACTTTTTATGATGCTGTGACCTTTCCTCCAGCGTCACTGTGAGGTTGACGTTTGTGAAATAGTGAAATATGTTAACAATGATTTGATGGTTTGCCATAAAATCAGCTACAGCTAGTCAAAGTCCCAAGAGGATAAATTCTAATGACTGTGGTGATCTCTGACATTTAACACCACCAGATCAAACCTTTTTCTTCAGTGTAATATTTTATGGATTGACACCAAATACTGATATTCACTGTTTCCAGTTTGTATTCTAATGGCTTTGGTCATCCCTTGTCTATTGCTTTAGTTCCACCAGTAGGTTGACAGTTCAGGTTCAGAGTGATATGTCTCGACAAATATTGGATGGATTGCTGGTAAACTCTGTACAGAGATCCATGAGATCCATCCATTTTTTTTTCCTTATCCTTAATGATTCTTTTAATTTGTTAACTGCACGTTACATTACAGTAGCTCACTGTTACCCTGTAGAAGACAGTCTTGCCTTCTTCAATGCCACTGTTAAACATAATCCTACCATCCTGGCTAATCATAAAGATGATGAAATGTATGAAACCTTAACAATAATGCATGCAAAACCTGAGGTGGTTGGCAGGCGATAAAAAGAAAAAATAAATAAAAACGCTCAAGTTTTTTAGGAAATCGTTTTTTATTTGCAGCTGTTATATTTTCAGTGGGGCCAGCCAAAGCAAGATAAAGCTTAAGCGGCAAGCCTTTACTGTTAAATCAATAAAACAGATAATGTTGACAAGCCTTTTTCACTGCACTCCTTCATGCCCTCCCTCTTCTCCTCTTCCTCCACCATACACACAACAGTGTCTGAAGTGTCTCTACTGTTGTTATTTGTCTCAATAGAGACCTAATCTGGCCATTATGAACAAACATTCTGTAGACCTGGCATAAGAGCATGCCTGCTGCACTGACCTCAGCAACCAGGGCTTTTGATTTTCACTCGTCTCTCATTAACTGATTGCAGAAGATGCTCAGTTTGAGTGAAAGTGGCATCTAGGACATAGGTTATCTTAATCTGTTACACTTCATCAGTGATGTGTAGAAGTTGCTAAAGTTGTTAAATGTTTTGCTTTGACAAAAAAGGAAAACGGAGGAAAACGGAGCATGTCTGCTTTTTCGTTAACTAGCATGCTGGTCATTGTGAAGCAGCTTATTCACATCTGTAGTTCATGCGACTAAGGAAGCACATAGTTGTTTGGTGAAAATCCTAAACATAAAAACAAATTCAAATTCAATCAATTCAGTGACATTAAAAAGTTTAAAGTTTAACTTATCAGAAAGGGGGTGAAATTATTATTTTTTCATCTTTAAAATGAGTGACTTTTAAAATGCGATAGAAAATGAATGAACGAATGAATTTTACTTCATCGGAAAACATCAAAAGCACAAAATTGCATTTATGTAGTTTGCATTAGATAACAGTGCAGCAGAGGCACATATGAAGTTCTATGTGAGTATCTTGTTCCCTTGAGTGATTTTAACTTCACACTCGTACCCAGTAGTTTTTATGAACATCTTCACCATAAATACTGGCATGCCTCATCTGCTTCCTTATCAAGCTAGAGATAAATAGCATGGGGTGCTGTGTGTGTGTGTGTGTGTGTGTGTGTGTGTGTGCATGAACATTGATGCATGTATGTGTGTGAGAGTGAGAAGGGGGTTCTTTGGATAGTCCATAAATCGCTCCTCCCTCTGTCATCCAATTTCTGGGCAAAGTCATTCAAAACCCCCGCACTATCCATTACCTGGGTATAATAGGCTCCTGGCCATGCAGTGTCCATCTTATTATTAGCCCATAACTTTAAACTATCAATAACTTTGAGCTACGGAGGGAGGCAGTGGGTGAAAGAGAAAGGAGGAGAGGGAGAAAACAAAATAGACTGGTGACAGAAGCTGGAGAGTTGGAAAGAAAATGTTAGGGTAGCAATGGTCTTCCGTAAGTTGTTGAGGGTGTGAGTGAGTCTGTGTGGTTTGTTTCTGGTAACTTTACAGAGAAGATATTTGGCAAGCGTGTATCCTTTTATTTCTGTTATGTCAATTTGCTGCCTGTGGAGGGCAACCCTGTGCTTTGTCATTACACTGTGGAGATGAAGCGAAATCAATGAGAGAATTTACCTGAGCCATTTCATTCATATCGCATTAAGGTCTTTCATACAGTATCACAGGAACTGATGACAATAATCTTTTTGCTTTTCTTCTGAAGTGAACAGAGTGGCAAGTGGCAGTGAGATTTTACAGGCATTCAGTAAAGCTTTACAAGTGAAGTTTGTCATTTCACTCAGGGTTAAATTTGACTTCAGATGAAATACTGCAGTATGTCTATAGAGATTGCAGTAAATGTACATTCGTTTTATTAGTTCGTAACAGTACATAATATTGACCTAACATCACTTTCTGATGTCACCAGCTTGAAGTGACAATGCATTTTAATAATCATATTGAGAAAGAATTTCTTTTTCACTCTTATATACTGTATGGCCTTTAAGGTAAGCAAGCACATTTTCTCATCTAGTGTAATTATTTTACTCACCATCTGAAAGTCTCAAGTCTTGGCAACCTGCCTTTCTTTTTTTAAAGACAACACTGTGTTACTTTTTGTTGCATATTGCATTATTGTTTTTTTTTTCTTTTACAGTACAACAGTAGTCTGTTGAAGTTGAAAGTGGGGGTTCAATTAACGCACTGATTCACCATTCAAAGACATATTAGACACTCAATAATGCAAAGACAAATTGGCTGGAAAAGCAGACTTCACCTGAGGCGTAGCTTTAATGCAGCTTAAGGCATCAGCGTGTATTGTTTTCACCGAAGTAAATGCAGCTCCACCACTGACTTCCATAAACACACACACCTGGCTATTGGAGCATGACATCAGACTGTATACAAGATATAGATATGATCAATAGAGTGTTGCTCTGCTTATTGATTTTTGCCATATGGGAGATTTGTTGTGTGAGCAATGCTTTTATAGCATTTGAAGTGATTGTTTGAGAATTGGTTGGTTTTTTTTTTTTTTTTTTTTTATCAGTGCT